GTTCGAGCAATCACTCACTCGACTATAAAATCCTACGGGATACATTACTTTGAGTTCGAGCAATCACTCACTCGACTACAAAACCTACGGGCTACATTACTTCGAGTTCGAGCAATCACTCACTCGACTACTAAGCCTACGAGTTACATTACTTCGAGTTCGAGCGGTCACTCACTCGACTATTATAGACTAAGGGCTATCCCAACTCGAGTTCTAGCAACCATTATCACTCGAGGACTATCTACGAAGCCCAAGGGCTACCTTATTTCGAGTTCGAGTAAACACTCACTCGACTACTAAACCTACGGGCTACATTACTTCGAGTTCAAGCAATCACTCACTCGACTACTAAGACTAAGGGCTAATCTTATTTCGAGTTCGAGCAATCACTCACTTGACCATAAAGCCTACGGGCTACATTACTTCGAGTTCGAGTAATCACTCACTCGACTATAAATCCTACGAGCTACATCATTTTGATTTCGAGCAATCACTCACTCAAGCATAAAGCCTACGGGATACATACCTTTGAGTTCGAGAAACACTCACTCGACTATAAAGCCTAAGGGCTATCCCAACTCGAGTTCGAGCAACCATTCTCACTCGGGGACTATCTACGAAGCCCAAGGGCTACCTTATTTCGAGTTCGAGTAAATACTCACTCGACTACTAAGCCTATGGTCTACATTACTTCGAGTTCGAGTAAACACTCACTCGACTACTAAGCCTACGGGCTACATTACTTTGATTTCGAATAAGCAATCGCTCGACTATTAAGCCTAAGGGATACTCTTACTTCAAGCTCGAGCTAACACTCATNACCCTAAGTTTCCTGGTTATCTCCGGGGGCAGTCTCTTCTCCATCGGGCTCCTCCCCGCTCTCAAACCCACTCTTGCTCCCATCATCATCATCATCATCATCATCATCATCATCATCGGAAGCCAAGGCTCCGGCATAGGCTTCAAGATCTTTAGCCTTTTTTATCTCCTCGGTAAGATCAAAACCTCGAGCATGGATCTCCTTGAGGGTTTCCCTCCGAGATTGGCATTTGGCAAGTTCAGCAACCCAATATGCTCGAGTTTGAGTGGTCTTGGCTGCCTTTTTTACTTGTACTTGAGCGGCTTCAACATCGGCCCGATAGACGGCCATGAATGCATCTGCCTCGGCCTTTGCTTTTTCTGCTTCAGATTTGGCCTGGGCAAGTACGAAAGCCAACCGAGCCTCGAGCTCCTCTATTTTTCTTGCTTGAACCGAGCTCTTTTCCTTCATGACTTGAAGTTGACTTTCGGCCAATGATAATTGGGCTCGAGCAGTCTCTTTTTCTACAGCAAGGCGGTCCATGCCTTCTTTCCACCCCAAGGTCTTCGCCCTTATTGTATCGACCTCCTCACGAAGCAGCTCGATCACCTCAAGCTTTTGCTGCAGCTGTGAGATCAAAATATTAGCCATCATTCCCGAATCGATCCCATGAGTTTTTAAGATTATAATTACCTGCTCAGTCAGGTCGGTCTGATCTTGGTATGCCTTGGCCAACTCAGCTCGGAGATCTTTGATCTCTTCCTCTTTCTACCCATTAAGAAGTTTAAGGGCATTTCTCTCTTCTAAAATCCCTCGGAAGTCAGCCTCACGTCGGCTCAGTTCCGTTCGAGACTTGGAAAACTCCTCTTGGTGAAGAGCTAAAGCCTATACGAAAAAGAGAAAAAGTTAGGCAGAAAATGGAAAAATATGACATCGACAAAGGGAATCGAGACTTACCCGATTCAGGGTCCGTTAAACCTCAAAGAAAAGACCCGACGCGTCACTCGGGTCGGCAGCATCCTCAATACCGGTAAAAAAATCACGAAAGGGATCCTCTCCCTCATGGGGCCCGTCTACATCAAGGGTCCCCAAAACTAGAGCTTCCCGAATCGCCCCTTCGAAAAAAGCAGGGAGAGTAGGCGAGTCTCCGATTACTATTGCCCCAGTTCGAAGAGCTTCAGGGCCGGTCCCTTCAGATATACCCACCATTTGTTGACTTCGGTGGGAGGCATCCTCGATCTCCAATGACTCGGGGACTTTGCTCGAGTCCTTCCCCGATATCCCCTCAGTTCGAGATGGAGCCTCATCAACCGCCATCGACCCAGCTGCTTTTGGGGCATCGATGGTTTTCTTCACTCGGGCCACCAGTATGGACCCGTCATTTTCTTCTTCTTCTTCTTCTTCTTCTTCTTCATCCCTTAGACGCCGAACAGATTCTTCGGTCAAAGGGATGATGTTCTTCCTCGGCTTATGAGCTGCCCTCTTCTTAAGCTTTGGATCCTCGGCAATTGAGGCCCTTTTTCTCTTGTTATCCTTCGCCGGTTTTGGAACCGGGGCCGAAGTCTCTTCCTCACCAGACGAGGACCTCATGATTGCATCTTTGCCCAGGCCTACACACAAGAAAATTGGTTTAAGTATAGGAAAGACATTTTGTTCGAATCATCGAAGACATGGGAATGAGGCTTACCATGATTTTTAGCCTCCCATTGACCCTTTGATAAGTTGCGCCACGAGCGCTCAACATATGTGGAGGTCGAAGCCAGGTCCTGTACCTAACTCTTAAGGTTAGGAACAACACCAGGCATCCAAGCAAGTGCTACATCACGGAAAAGGATACCGGTGAGAAAGAAACAAAGGAGCAAAACAATAGGAGCTAACAGTAGAAATTATACTTACGCTTCATGTTCCACTCCTCAGGAGACGGAATCTTCTCAGCAGGGATTAAGTCAGAAGTCTTCACTCAAACGAACCTGCCTATCCAGCCTCGATCCTTGTCCTCGTCAATGCTCGATAACAGCACTTTGGTAGCCCGGCATTGGAGTTTTATTAACCCACCTCGATAAAGGTGGGGGCTGTACAATCTAACGAGGTGTTCGAGGCTGAAAGACATCCTCTCGACTCTGCTCACGAAGAAGAGAATCAGAATAATGATCCGCCAAAAAGAAGGATGGATTTGGCCTAGGTTTACTTGATATTGGCAGCAAAAGTCGATGACAACAGGGTCGAGAGGGCCCAACGTGAAAGGGTAAGTATATACACTTAAAAACCCTTTCACATGGGTAGTAATATCTTCTTCGGGAGCCGGGACTATCACTTATATGTCCTCCCAGTTGCAATATTTCCTTAACTGCTTAAGATGGCCCTCGGTTATCGAGCACATATATCTCGATACTGGCTTGCATCGACCAGGGACCGGTGAAACTTTGTCGATCTTAAAATCGGAGGTAAGAACATACCCCCCCGGGAACACACTCCTCAAGTCGTGGCTCTACCGGTGTTTTGTCGCCGGCGGGCCGCGAAGAAGAAGCTTTTTCTTTTTGAGGAACAGTTTTTGACTTTTTCGCCATTGGGATTTGAAGATTAAAGATAGAGGAAGATGACAAGATTTGGTGTTCTAAAGAGAGATTTTGCAGTAAAAAACACAAATTTACAGATGAAGAACTCAGAAGATGCGAAAGGGAACTTAGAGAATTTGGAGATGTAAAAGTAAAAAATGGTAAAAATAGGGGCTATTTATAGGGTTGGCAATGACGGTTCAGTTTGTCGATGAATGGCCGACCATCGTCTGACACGCATTTAATACCTTGGTAAACTAAGCCGACGGAACAGCTATCACGTACGTCACGGTCGGGCTCGATGCAAACGTCAGTTTGTATCGAGTCACATCGCTTGAAAATCATGTCGTTTCTTGCCACATTCTTTCCGAGAAATGAGGGGACTATCTGTATACGGTCAAAACCGATTTCGACCTTCATATGATTAGTCAAGATTGGAACACAATGGACCGAAGGTCATCCTCGTAATATCAGGTATGAGATCCGAAGCCAGGTTACCGAGCTCAAATTTCTGAGACCGATCAAATACCGAACTCGAAGTCATTACTAAGCTCGAATCCAAATCGAACTATGATGCGAAGCGGCGTTATCGAGCTTTAGAGCCAGAGACCGACCAATACCGAGCCCGAGCCAATACCGGGCCCCGAGTCAATATCGAGCCCGAGTCAATATCGGGCTCTAAATCTGAAAACCAACCAATACTGAGTCCGATCAAGATCAAGTCATGGGACAAGAGCCGTTACAGACGCACTCAGGAGAGAGAATCTCGGCGGAAATTTGAAAAAAGTTATTCTATCATAGGTTTTCCACTATATATTTTTAATTATATCCAAAGTAGGATCCCTCCACTATAAGAGGAATGGCTATTATTTCTGTAAGGATCCAACATCAAGGCATACATACATTCTTATATTCAGATACTACTATTGACAGAGAAATACAGTAGAGATTATCCTCTTGTGAGCTTTATACATTGATTCATCTTGCTAGTCCATAAAATCGCTTTCTAATTTAATATTGGCTCGTATTTCATTCTTTACAAGTCAATATTCGATATATTTCTATTTACTTTCTGATTTGTACCAAGTTGTACCACGTATCCTTAGAACTACGTATAAATTCAACTCTATCCATTTTTTGGGTAAACAATGTTCTTTTAAAAGTTCATCTGCATTTTTATTTTATTTTTTGGAAATTACTTTTGCTTTTACGCTTTTTGGAATTGTGATTGTTTGAATTTGGTTAATCCTACCCAACTTATGTACCACTAATTGAATCGTTAAACAACCAAATTTTTGGGACTTTTTTCAACCCCAAGATGTAATGAATTGACATAAAATGCAAATGACTCTAATACGAGAGCATACGCTAAGCACTTAGTTAATGAAGGTTGCGTTTTCCTTCCTTTTCGTGTTTACTGATAAGGTGGAATCATGGGAATAACTTTACCGGGTATCTATCTTAGCTTTCTCAACAAATGATTTGAAAGAAGCAAACCTTGAAGGAGAAGACCTAACATATTTTACCACATTTCTTACACGAGTAATAGGATCAATTTGTTCATCTAACTCATCTTTTACAATCAAGTTCAAAATATGAGCATTGCATCTAACATGCAAAAACTCATTTCCAAGTATTACCACTTTCTAATCATCAATACGCAACTTCAAATGCTTAATGGCAGCATCATTAGCACTTGCATTGTCCAAGGTCACTGTAAACAAGTTCTCAAAACCCCAATCAAATAAACATGCTTCAATTCCCTTAGCAATAGTCTCACCTTTGTGATTCGGTGTTGGAAAAAAGTTTAAATTTTTTTTTGTAGATTCCATTGATCATCTATCCAATGTGGTGACAACCATGTAAGTTAAGTTTTGAAGTAATATCTATGTATCACTAGTAAGACATACACGTTGGTTCTTAATAAAAATTTTAAGTTTTTCCTTCTCTTCCTAATAAATCCTCAAACAATGTCTAGCAACAGTTACACGAGAAGGTAATTCAAAATTAGGTAAGGCTTTAGCCATTAATTTCTTAAATCCTTCTCCCTCAACAACTCTAAAAGGTTGCTCATCAAGAATTACAAATTCGGCAATCGCCCTCCTAATGTCATCCACATTATACACTACCCTTTCATTAGTACCCGAACCACCTTGTAGCCACCCTTCTTTGATAGGTTTTAATGTTGATTGTCTCTTATCAAGGACTCTAAAGGGAGATTTGTGACATGTAGCATTTAAATGCGACCATAACGTAGTAGTCTCATTCCTGCTACCTGCAACAAATGTTTTAGGATAATAATTGCATTTTGCCTTACATTTACCTCCTTTAGCAATAAATTTGGAGAAGTGATTCCAATCTCGAATGTCTCTCTACCACTATTCCCAAATTTAGAATTTTCTGATGGAGTCGTTCTTTTTTGCTTTTTAGGAGGAGTGCGTCGATGAGGAGTATCTTTACTTTGTTGTTGAGCTGCCACTGGCGAAGGATTATTGATAACCACCTTCGCATTTCTTTCAGAAGTTGTAGTTTCCATTCGGAGAAAGAGTTCCTACAAATAGAACATATTCAGTTACTATTTAACTCTCTTAAAATAAAAGAACGATGGGATGTAAGCTATGATAAAATTAAACTTCTCTATACTCAATATCTTTTTAAGTAACAGTATAGTGAACTCAAGTTAATCATCTAAGAGAACAAAATGAACAAATAAATTCGACAACAGGGAGTAATACAACAGATTTGCTATACAACTCGCTAATCGGAAAAAGAAAACTCTTAGTTAATCGGAAAAAAGCAAAGCGTATGTATGCAGCTAAAAGAAAACATGTAAAATGAGAAAGGGAAGAGCCTTATCAATGAAAGCAAAAGAGAGTTGATAGGGTTTGAGCTAATTTGGTTTGAGTTAATTGGGGGTTTTGGAATGGAACGTAGGGTTTCTTGCCTTTGGAGAAGAGGCAAAATGGTTTCAATTGTTTTATTATTTTAGAACTAGTTTATGACTAGTCTAGTTCTACTTTAGGACTAGTTTTTGTTTGGGCTCAATTATTCTTTTATGGGCCAGACAAAAAAAAAGCATTTACATGGGCTATAAAACTAACTTAAAATATTATGCTACATACAGAAATTATAAAAAAAATTAAGAAATATTTATAACTTACATTCTAGTAAATATTTTTAGCTATCTAATATATAAAATATGTATACATGTAATATCGGGTTGGTTTAGTTTCGATTTGACTTTTTTTAGTTAATACCAAACCAAACCTATTATGGTCGGATTTTATTTTTCAATACCAAACCAAGTCAAACCAAACCACTAGTCGGGTTTTTTTCGGGTTGACTCGGATTATCGGGTTGGTGCGGGTTATCGGTTTGGTTTGCACACCCCCTAGTGCACAATATTTATTTTTTTCAAATATCAAGAAAGAATTAACTTTTTTTTTCCAAAGTTGCCCCTGGAGTAAAGAGCCTAGGTGTATTTGTTGTATTTCCACTGAACAATTTAAGTTTAATATGGTCAATTACATTGTTAATTAAAGCTAAAAGGTGGATAACTTAATATGTGTGAAAACAACCAAGAAATTGCTTAAAATGGACCGGAGGGAGTATGAAATATTAAAATTTAAATATGTTGTGAACTAATCAACTCGACACTATCTGCTTCCTTTGTTCAATGATCATGTCTTATTAAGCGCTTAATCCAATTACAATTATGAGAATATCTTCTTCGTTTAGAACCTTTTTGATAGTCTTTTAACTGTGCGAAATACCATAAACAACCATGTCGAACGTGCACGGGCACAATACATAATAGATTATAAGAGGATTAAATCTATCCACCAACTTTTGGAGTTGAGTTCATTTTTATTCATTGATAGAAAGTCATTCATTTGACTTCCTTCATTATTTATACATAATATGAAAGAGAAATAAATTACTATAATAGATGAAGGAAAATACTAAAATCACATAGAAACTCGAATGCATAACATGGATTTGTCTCAGTCGTTGCAATTGACAATAATGTACCTGTTAAGTGTTGTCTAAACTTCACATATATCATAAGGATATAAGCTGCTGTATACACATCTACAGCAAATCCAACAATCATATTCGCAATTATTATTGGTAGTACACTCTCTCAAACAAGTATTGAGTTGTGGTAGTAATCTTTTCTTGAGTCCATAGATTTCAGGATCTATATTACGTGTAGCATTGACTGAAGCAAAAATTACATTCACAATTATTGAAATAAAATGTTAGTTAGTGTAATATGAAATGCACACATTTTACAATTATAATTGTCAAAATTAAATTACGTTTAGCATATTATGAAGTGCAGTCATTGATATGAAATTCATATCACATATATGTGCCCACATGTATATGCATAGTGACACACAAAAATATAGAATTATTATCTTAGGGATAAAAGGGATACTAACCAGTGATTGCTATGAGAAGAACAATAAAAATTAAGCAAATCTTCAACAATAATATGCTAGGCACACTACGGCACATTTTATAAAAGTGTACTATGTGAACATCTCATTACCTTTCGGATGCTATAATTTATAGATCTTTTTGCTAATGAATTGGCTCTCTGTCTTCTCTTTCAAACAATGTGATCTATAATTAAAAATTTCTCTCTTTCACTTTTCCCCGCAATAAAAGTTGCATTGAATTAGTTAGAATGAGTAACTAGAAAGTCATGTAGTAAATTGTATTTTCCAATTGCTTCAACAAAAAATAAAGAGTTCACAAAATTTCATATCCATATTACAGAAGATACATATGAAAATAAAAGATGAACCAGATCATAACATTTTATAATTTGAATATGACTACAAAAATATGCAAGGAAGAATACAACACGAACTTTATTATCTGACAGTCTAGCATGTACTACAGTTATTTCTTTTATGTTTTGTTTATTATACAATGATATGAGTTGAGTTTATATGGAGAAGTGAGAATTCATATAGCCTACTGATCCATTGCTTGGGATTAAGGCGCAGGTATTATTATATTTTTTTACATGTTTTTCTGCTTAAGCCTTACTCTGAGTTTGCCTTCCTTTTTAAATAATGTGATCTATAATTTAAGATCTTTTTCTCTCCTACATTTCTTGATAATGAAACTGAATGACATTAGTCAAATGAAATTCTTTTACTACAAAATCTTGTAGTAAATTGATTCCTTAATGCTCCAACAAAAAATAAAGAGTTGTCCAAATTTCAGATCCATTATTTTTGAAAGAAGCATGTTAGAAATGAAGATGAACCATCTTATAGCATTTATGAAAGTGTACTAGGTGAACATGTCATTGCTTACTTCTCTTTTCCAAAAAATGATCTTTGATTTACAATTCCTTTCTCTTTCACATTTTTCCATATTAGTTAATTAGAATAAATTTTTTAAACTAGAAAGTCACGTAGTAAGTTGTGTTTTTGAATTGCTCCCATTAAAATATAAACAACAACAACAACAACAACCCAGTATAATCTCACTAGTGGGGTCTGGGGTTACTCTAGGGTAGAGAGGCTATTTCCAATAGAAACTCGGCATCCTTCCCTCCAAGAACTCCCCACCTTGCTCTTGGGGTGACTCGAACTCACAACCTCTTGATTGGAAGTAGAGGGTGCTTACCATCAGAGCAACCCCTTGTTCCCCTTAAAAAGATAAAGAGTTTACAAATTCAAGATCCATCATTTTCGAAAGATAAAAAGATGAACCTGTTCATATATCTACTAAAATATGTTATTTGACTACACCTAGAGAAGTACATAAATCACATTAATGAACTGACAGTCTAGCATGCACTATATATAGTTTCTTTTTGTTTTTTACTCATTATTATACATTTCTACGAGTTTTTATGTGTAATCCTTAACTAAATAAATGAGTTCTATTCATTCCAACTTTTATTTGTAATTCAAAATGAAGTAACAGACATGAATTTATTGGAAGGATAGGCTTTATAACTAACAAATATGATCTATATTTAATAATCTCTTTCCCTCCCACATTTCTTGAAAACAAAAACTGAATAAAATTAGTAAAATGTGAAAAATTTACTAAAAGGTCATCTAGTAAATTGTGCTTCCCAATTACTTCAATAAAAAATAAAGAGTTGATCAGATTTCAAATTCACTATTTTTGGAAGAAACATGTTAGACATGAAGATGAACTACATCATAACATTTTATGAAAGTTTATAAAATCAATGTCGCGATCATGGCCAACGGGTATGTCCCATGCCGATCGCAACCGCAGGCCAAGATCCGGGATCGCGAAGAAACTATGTCAAGCTTAGGTTCATCATGGGGTTCCATGATCACGTTTGGCCTAGTAATCAAATAAAACGAAATCAAAGGAATTAGGAAAAAGTACATAAATAGCCAATTTAAACTCAAACTTTGATGACCCAAAATGTTATCTTTAACTTTAATAATTAATTCAGTATTCTAAGACCTCGAAAAGTATTATTTATCACTCCTCGACTTGCGTGTGTAGTCCGTATAATTTTTTGAAAAGTTTTTATGTGAAAAATATATTAAAATGTAAAATAGAGCTTTAAAACTTAACTGAGTTGACTTTGGTCAATATTTTGAGCAAACAGACTCGGATTAGTATTTTGACAGTTTCGGTAGGTCCGTATCATGATTTGGGACTTAGGCTTATGCCCGAAATTAAATTCTGAGATCCCTAGCCTGAGAGATGGAATTTTGATGAGAAATTAAAAGTTTGTAAGCTTAATGATTTTTAAGAATTTACTCATGTTGGATTTATTGATACCGGGTCCGTATTTTAGTTTCGGAGCCCGCTATAGGTCCACTATAATATTTATGACTTGCCTGCCAAATTTGGTGGGAATCAGAGTTGATTTGACGTGATTCAGACGTCCGGTTGTAAAAATATAAGTTTTAAAGTTTTCTTGAAAATTTCCTTTGATTTGGTGTTTGATTCGTAGTTTTAGGCGTTATTTTGGTGATTTGATCGCGCGAGCAAGTTCGTATGATATTTTAGGACTTGAGTGCATGTTTGTTTTGGAGCCTCGAGGGCTCGGGTGAGTTTCGGATAGGCTACGGGATGATTTCGGACTTAGAAAATTTGATTTTCTGTAGACTTCAGGCTTCTGGTGTGTTCTTCTTCGCATTCGCGAAGGTACTCTCGCGAACGCGGAGAGTAAATTGAACTGGCACGTTTAGTGCTTCGCGTTCGCGACAGGGAGAATGCATTCGCGAAGGGTTGAGGTGCGAAGCTTCGCTTTCGCGATCGAAGCCTCGCGTTCGCGAAGGGAAAGAGGCTGGCTAGGTAATTTGCCTTCGCGTTCACGAAGGACATGCCAGGCAAGCTTCGCGTTCGCGAAGGGTAAAATTAGACAGCCCAAATTTTTGCTTCGCGAACGCGAGGCACTGACCGTGTTCGCGAAGGGTAAAAATTTCAGAAACAAAACTTAAGTTCTCGAAAATGGGATTCGTCCCATTTTCAACTCTTTTCCATTTTTGAGCTCGGGTAAGGCGATTTTCATGGAAAAATATTGGGGTAAGTGTTACTTATCCTAAGTTGATTATATTTCATAATTCCATACTCATTTACATCATGAATCCGTGAATTTATGGAAGAAAGATCAGATTTTTATAAAATCTTTCAAAAACGAAAATTTAAGATTTGAAGGTTCATTTGACATCGGAATTGGATAATTTTTGTATGGTTGAACTCGTAGAGGAACGGGTGTTCGGATTTCGCGAGTTTCTCGTAGAGGAACGGGTGTTCGAATTTTGCGAGTTTTTTCGGGATTTGAGATGTGGGTCCCACTGTCGAATATTTAAATAAATTTTAGATTTTTATCCGAAAAATTAGTAAATTCATATGGAATTAATTCCTATGATTCGTATTGGGTATATCGAATTGTTTGTGAATAGATTTGACGCTTTTGGTGACAAATTCAAAAGAAAAAATTGTGGTCGAATAATTTATTTGAATTTGCAAAGCGAGGTAAGTGTCGTGATTAACCTTGACTTGAGGGAATAGAACCCTTCAACTAAATGTTATGTAAAATGCATGTGAAGGACGTATAGGCAAAGTGACGAGTTTCTATACGTCGTCAAATTAATTGTTTGCATAATTATTTGAAAAATCACAAATTATTTTAAATCATGAATTAATTATTATAATAATTATTTCTCTCTTATTCTTTGTCAAATAGTATACAATTTTGATGTTGTAATAGTTACTCCAAATATAAGTTTTGAAGATTTTGTAAGCGTGATTTCGAAACAAGTTATGATTGATACTTCATTGAATGTTATTGAAATCAAATAAATTGTTCAAAACGGTTCTCCACCAATATTGATACACAATAATATGGGTGTATGTGTATATCTTGAGCTGAAAAAAAGTTCGAAATTTACAATGTATCCCCTTTGTACATTATCGAGTGAAAAGGATATGGATATGATATGCTACAATTCAAATTTTGATGTGATTTCCTCAGAGTATGCACAAAGGTTATACAGAAGAGATACAATGGCGATACAATTAATATGATTGAGTTTGGGGATGGAGAAACCTAGCAGGATACAGAATCTGATGAAAATACAATAATAAATGACCCTCAACACATAGATGAAGATGAAGGTCAAATTTATAAAGACAAGGCTACGATGGTCAAAGTCATGAAGCACTTGGCAGTAAAGGAAAAATTCAAGTTTAAGGTGTATAGATCAAGTGAAAGCGGGTATCAAAATATTTACTGTATAATTATGTATCTCAATGTATATCGTAGTTGATGTTATAAGCATTAATTATGCAAAAAATAAGTTGATATTTGTAAGTCTGTAGCGGTACACTTTTAAGTTGTGATTGTCACCTACTTATATTCTGTAATTCAAAATGAAGTAACAGGCTTGGATTTATTGGAAGGATAGGCTTTATACTTAACAAATATGATCTATATTTAATAATCTCTTTCCCTCCCACATTTCTTGAAAACAAAAACCGAATGAAATTAGTAAATGTGAAAAAATTACTAAAAGGTCATCTAGTAAATTGTGCTTCCCAATTACTCCAATAAAGAATAAAGAGTTGATGAGATTTTAGATCCAC